GAGGCGGGTCTCGGGAGGGGGAGGGCGCCAGGGCAGTTGCCTTGGGAGTGGGCGGGGCTTATCAGATGCAGATTGTCAGGCCTGACCACTGAAGCTAGAAGTGTGGGTAAGTCTGGAAGCCAGTGGAGGTGAGAAGGGTGAAGAAGGAGCTGAAAGGTTGTACTGAGCTCTGGGATTAGAAAACTGGGAGTGCGGAGAGCCCCGACCGGCATCGCCATCATCCCTTCCATTCGCATCACAGCACAGTTGACAAAGAGCTTTCTGTTCCTTTCACCTGTCGTTGGTGGTGGTGGTGGGGGGGGGGCCGGTGAAACTTACCCTGATTTTAGGTTCCGTTGCCTAGAAACACGCTGGATGGTTTGTTTCTTTTCATTTTACATTTGACATATCAGTGAAATCATATGGTTCTTTTCCTTTTTCATCTGACTCACTTCAGTTAGCGCAATACTTTCCAGATCCGTCCACGCCGTCGCAAATGGCCAGTCTTCATCTTCCTCTGCCTGAGTAGTAGTATCCCATTGCCCACAGGTGCCGCATCTCATCCGCTGAAGGAGAAAACAAACGAACAAACAAAAAACACTCACAGACACAAACAGCAGAATGCTGATGACCGGGGGCGAAGGGGGTCGTGGGGAGCCGGGAGGAGAGTAAAGGGTCAAACACACAGCGATGGAAGGAGACGAGGCTTCTGCAGGCGGTGAGAACACACCAGAGTGGACACAGATTTCGAATTACACGGCTGTGCCTCTGAAACCTGTGTAACGCCCTTGACCTGTGTCACTCTGGTAGGTGAGGAAAAAACGAAACGGGCCGGAGAGAAGGCAGGGTCAGGACCCCAGGCAGCACCTGCCACGCCTCTGCGGAGGAAGCCCGTCCGCTCGGTTCCCCTTGGCTCCTTAGGGAAGTGGAACCGGGCTGTAAGCAAGGCAGGCACACGTGTCCCTGGGGTAGAAGGACAAATACGGCAAAAGGTCTAGAAACCGCAGTTCCTGGGGGAGAAATGGAAGGGCTGGAAAGGTGTGCCCGCTCTGAACAAGCTACTCCCTTCTGGGATCAGTGGGGAGCGGTCTGGAAGGGGCGCGGGGGCCCGCGGGACACTGGTAGCCGGTGCGGCGAAGGTAGGGGCTGGCCTCTCCCGGACCCCGAGCGCTTGGGGACTGGGGGTTGAGAGAGGCACGCTTCCCGGGGCGCCCCACGGAGGGCGGGAGCGCCCTCGGTCACCCCGGGCCGCCCGCCCGGGCAGAGGGAAGAGCGGCCCGCCCAGGTGCGCCGGGGGTTGGGCAGAGTCCGGAAGGTGCGCCGCCCAGCTCCGGGCCCGTCCCCTCGGCCTCCCCCCGCGTGAAAGTGAAAGTGTCGGCGGCGCGGAGGTCGGCACGGGGGCGGGGCCGGCGCGGACCTGGGAGCGGGCGCCGGGCTCCGGAGGGGCCATGGACGGGCTCGGCCGCCGCCTCCGAGCCAGCCTGAGACTGAAGCGCGGCCGTGGGGGTTAGTGCCGGGCCGGGGCGCGGGGCACGGGCGCGGTGGCCGCGCGGGGACCGCGGTTAGGACACAAGGTGACCGCGGCACGGGCCGGGGCCGGAGGCGCGGGGTGTCGGGACCCGGGAGCAATCTGCCGCGTCCCCGGGAGGGCCGGGCAGGGCTCAGGTGAGCGGAGAGAGGGCGCAGGTCGGGGTGGACGGGGCCTGCTGGGGACCAGCTCGGAGGTCAAAGGAGCGGCCGGGCGGAGCGGGGGCGGTGAGGGGGTAGGCGGCCGGGCAGAGGAAACGGTGGTGGGGCCCCGGGGCCACGTGTCCTTCCATCCAGGAAGCTTGTGGTGCAACCGCAGGGCGCCCGGAGCGCCCTCCGGGGAGACCCCGCCCCAGCCCCGCCGCGCCCCGCCCCTGCACCCCGAGTAGCTACGGGCCAGAAAAGCCGGTCTCCCGGGCGACGCGGAGCCCCCGCCCTAGGCCGTCGAGGGGCCGCGGAGCGAGTGGCCGGAGCTCAGCGGCAGCCGTCGAGCGTGAGAACCACACCAGTCCCGCCTCCCGAGGCCCCTCGGTGAAGTGAGAAGTCCTCCCGGCGTGGTCCGGGTCACGTTAGAAGTCGATGCTCATTTTCTTCTTTCTCAGCGGGGCGACTGCGCTTTGGAAAGAGGGCAAAGGGGAATTTGCTCATTTTTTTTCATTCATTCGGCAAACATTGACTGCTGCCTACCTCGAGCCGGTCCTGCGGCCGAGCAGCCGGAATCCTGGGCGCTCCGCCCAGAGGTCCGGCTGTCAGAGGAGAAGGTAGCTCACCCGACAGCGCAGATCCACCCCCAACCCCACCCCCGGCAAATGGAAAGGCTGAACCCAGCCACCCGCTACTTCCCGGCCCAGAGCTGGGGAGGCCTGGGGCCTCCGCCATCACCCCTGCCCTCCACCCCCAGCCCCGCCGTTCTGCCTGAACATGGGGTTCAGTATCTGTGGTTTCACCCTAATTGAGGCAGAGAGGTCAGAGGCCACGCACAGGTGGGGATAAAGGTCTGGGATAAAGGTCTGGGACTGTGCAGTGTCCGGAGCAGAATGCGGGGTAGGGCTGCGGTCCTCGATTCCAGGAAGGTGCTGGCCTGGTTTCTCATGGTCTCTCTAATCCTGAGATGGCTGTGTGAATGGAAGGGGCCCGCTTCCTCAGCCCAGAGGAGACAGTCCAGTCATTCCCACCCACCCTGGCCCCCAAACCGAGGTCGTGTTTGTGCCCGAAGCACCTCCTGGACGTTGAGGAACTGGGAGATCAGCAGCCAGTGCTACCTGTCCTGAGGTCTGCCACCTGCCAGGCCTGGGCAGTGCACCCTTTCCATCCTCCATACCTGGGGTCTGTCCTCCACCCTCCCGGGGAGTTCCACGTCCCTCCAGGGCAGGTGTGTGTAGGAGTGTGCATGTGTGTGCGCGTTTGTACACACAGGGATATGTGAGTCATCCTGGTGGGAGGGGTGGCAGTGGGGGTGGTCCCGGGTTGCCAGCAGCTGTGCTAGAAGAGGAGGGGCAGCCTTTCCAGAGGAAGCTTGCAGAGACTCCTCTCCCCGAACTCTAGCTTGTTCTGGGACTTTCCTCAGGTGGCTGTGGGAGGCGCTTGCCGGTGGAGGAACAAGTGAAACCGGACTCCTGACTTCCTTAGAAAGGGTGGCTCCCTCCGCAATTAAAAACCCAGGGCACTGATTCCTTTCCAGGGCACTGGGGATTAACCCAGATGACCTAGATGGAACGTGCCTGTTTGACAGACGGACGGACGTGCCTCCTCGGCTCATGACCCCCTGGAAAGACAGATGAAAGCCATCTTCCTGGATTTCCTGGGCCTCCACCTCCCAGTCCAGTCAAGTTTTGTTTGCGTTTATGCGTTTTGCTGTGCTCTCGGCCAGCCCGACAGAGCAGAAGGGAGTGGGCTGTAGATTGCAACTCAAAGGACCTGGGGAAAAGAATCATCTCCCGTGGTTCCGGGACGGTCGGTGAAAAGATGTGGGTTCTCCAACCAGAGGCCCCCGCGTCTGTGGGACATTCTCTGTGTGCTGCGTCCAGAAGGCAGGAGCAAGGGCGCAGGACTCTTGCTGTGACCACCCCCAGCAGATCCTGTTAACAGTCCCTGGATTACGCTGTGCCTCAGTTTCCCCCGGGGCATCAGCCAGGTGCTTATTCCTCAGACAGGTGGTGAGGATTGGAGACAAGTCTGCGTGAGCAGTGGTGAGAGTTCTGAGTGTCTGGGATCACTGTTCTCACCCTGACAGCATGCGTTACCCCCTTAGCTACTGCGATAGGGCTTCTCCCAGGAGTCCTGGTGGGGCCACTGAGTGCTGGCTTCTATTAGCCCAGGGAAAGCTGGGTCCAAAGCTCTTAAGAGCGAGGCAGCTGTCTCCTCCATTCCAGCACCCCGCTTTCTTCCAGCGGCTGCTAATTCTCTGCAGGAGTGGCAGGCTCTGGCATCAAATGTTTTTAAAGCCTCCTGGCTTCTGTTGGGCGCAGCTTCCTGGCCCAAGTGCTTCTCTCCTACTTAGTGTGTTCACTCACTCGGGGGTTTTCTGCGAGACTCCTAGGCGATTTATTGCCGTTCTGTCTCTCTTTTTCCCAGCCTCCAGACACAGCCTCCAGAAGCCTCTAGAGCCCCAGGGGCCAGCTGCTCTGCTTTTAGCTTGAGCAGAACTGTTGACCTGGCCCAACAGAAAAAAAAGTCTGAGCAGGAGTAGGGGTGTGGGGGGATCACCCTGAGGCTTTTGACCTTCACTGAACGACCCTCAGGCTGCTGAGGCAACCGGTTCACCACTGTAGGCCAGGGACACTGTCTGGAGTCAGTGCCTCCAATTCGAAAGAGGGATCCCCTGCTGGGACCCCAGAACAGGTCCCAGTGAGAGAATCTGTCTCAGGAGGTGTGGCCAGGCAGAGAGAGGTGCCCCCCTGCAGATCAGAAATATCAGGAACTCTCAGCTCAGAGATGGACTTCGCTTCCGTTTCACCACCAAGACAGGAGACTCTTAGTTTCGTCTTGATGTCCAGGTTCCCCTCTTACTGGAACAATTTCTCTGTTTCAGTATCAGGGAAAGCAATGGCATCCTCGCCGTGGGGAGTTTGGTCCTGTGCTCTTGCTTGCTACCCGGAAGTCCTGGAAGTTCTGATGTGCACCAAGTGGTCTCGCAGGGGGCCGGGGCAGCTGTTGGCCAGGCAGAGAGGCGAAAGGCCAAGAGTCAAAGTTAGGGGCTAGGAAATCGAGGTCCTGCGACCAGCCCAGTGAGGTTCCAGTGCCTACAGTCTGAACTTATCTCGAATTCTTCTCTTTCCTGAGATTGTAAATAAACCCTCAGTACAACCTGCAACCCAGAATTCAAAGCTTTTAGCAGCTGGGCCTTTGGAGGTGTTTACTCACGACCTTTTGTCTCACCACACCCTGGGGTTCTTGGGAGGAGCTGAGGTCTGAGCTGCCGAGCCAGGATGCTGCTGCCTCCGTCAGTGCAGGCGTCCTGCCGCCTTCCTGGGTCCCGTCACATCCTCCTTGCCCAACCATTGGGTGCCCAGGATGGAAACTGCTCCCCCTCATCTGGAAGACAACGTGGGGCTTGTCTTCAGGGCGCTGTGGTCGGATGCTGAAGCAGCAGCCCCTTTCTCAGGCTTTCTGTAGCCAGCCTGTGTTGGAGAAAAGGGCGGCGCCCCATGCCCTCGCAGGCCCAGGACGATGGAAGGACAAGGGGTAGGCAGGATGCTCAGGCTGCTCCCCAGATGGCTGCCTCGACTCCGCGCAGGTCTGGACTGGGTTGCCCACTTCCCTTTTTCCATGGTGACGCTCTTCCATGGGGCTGTTTCTTCCTTGAAATGCTTCTTTCTCTTCCTTTTGTATCTTGACTGCCACCTAGGGCCCCACGTGACTGGGCTGGGAGGCTTTCTGTGCAGGATTCCCTGTGGGGGGATTGGTGTGGTCACAGCCACGTGGCCATGGACCTCTTCTGACTTAGTGAGCTCCGGGCTACTCGGTGCACGCTGTTTTGGGCCCCGTGCTGGGCGCCCTATAGGTGGGCAGAGTCTCTGTGGCACCCTGGGGCACGGGGCCTCCCAGGGGCCCTCCCCAGTGTATTTCCTTGGCTTCCACATCAGTGGTTCCTTTTCTCCCCCTGGCTCTGCGTGGTTTCACATCTCCCAGAGCAGGCACGGAAACTGCCCACTTGGCTCCGGTCCTATTCCAGGATCCGAGGCCCCAGGCATTCTCCAGGGGCCTTGGCATTGGCGGGGTGGGTGGGGGATGGGGGCGCCTGGAGGTGCCGAATTTGCCTGCAACCCTGCAGTCTCCACCTGGGGCACAGATCTCTGAGACACTGAGTGGGCACCATGTCTGGTTTTAGGGTCTGTCCAGGGCAATCCGGGGGAAGCTGCAAAGGAGCCAGAAAGGGCCCCAGAGCACTGTTTGTCCAGCTTCGGTGGAGGGCAGCACTTTTTTGAATACCTCCTGGTGGTTTCCCTCAAAAAACAGCGGTCAGGGGAGAATTATGAGCCTACGATCACCTACCAGTTTCCCAAGGTAAGGACTGCAGGAGGGGCCGGGGGCAGAGGACAGGGTGTCTGAGAGGCAGTGCGTGTGGCGGGTGGGGGGGGGCCCTCTCTCTCTCTCTCCTGCCTGGGCTGGCTCAGTCTGGAGCTGCCCTGAGCTTGCCCACTCCTGTCTCCCCGTAGGCCCGGCCCTGGGTTCTGTTATCACCCGCAGAATCTAGGTCTGGCTTCTCTGCGAGGCCCTGACCTTGGCGCCCTAGCTGGGAAACTAGGCTAGTTCTCCTGCCCCTTTCTGGACCTCCTAGTTCTCCCAGATTCCACCCCCAGCCACCCTTCTCTATAGAGAAACTTACCTTCTACCAGAACTCCTTGCAGGCACCCCCTCCCTGGGCTGGGTGGCAAGGAGAGGGTGGGGCAGCCACACGCTGGGCTCCTCGTTTGCTCCTGCACTGGGTGACAGAGATTTCATTGACCCTGAGAGTGCGACAGATGAGCTGGCCGTGTGTCTTCTCTGATGTGGTATGTCGCTGACGTGGTCCCTGCAGGAGGCTGGGCCTTCTGTGCTCAGGTGTGGCCCTGGTCCCCTTCCTGACTACGCAGACCCTCGGGACCCTGAGGTCTCACTCTGGTTCATGTAGATCTGGCCCAGGAGGGGCTGTTTCCGCCCTGGGGTCGCTCCTGCCAGACCCAGAACCAGGTCCCTGTGTAGAGTGACCCGCAGAGGCACACTTTGACCCCACACCAGTGGAAAGCTTCTTCTCAGAAGGCTTTAGGGGCCTCAGATGGAGCCTGCCCCCCTCCCCAGCCCTCTCCGGCCGCACCCAAACCCACCGTGGGCGCATCTCCTTTCCTGTCCCTTCCAGCGGGAGAACCTGCTTCGGGGCCAGCAGGAGGAGGAGGAGCGGCTGCTCAGTGCCATCCCCCTGTTTTGCTTCCCAGATGGGAACGAGTGGGCACCACTCACCGAGTATCCCAGGTAACTGCTCGGCCCTGCGCCGGGGACTCTGGGATTGGCAGGGAAGGGACAATGTGAGCTGTGGCTCCTCTGGTCCCTCACTTGGTGTATAAGCCCATTTCTCACCAGCTTTCCTCCTGATGGGGAGGGATTCAGTTGATTGATTTATAACCACCTGGCCTGGAGGCCCTGGAGACCAAGGATCTTAGCTGACCTGGTTGACCATGACCTCTGCCCAGAGAAAGGCGAGATTCCCTCTGCTGTGCTAGGAGTGGCAGGCTGTGCTTTCACTCTGGACATAGTGAAAACACTACGTGAAAACACTGTGTTTTCACTTCTGTGTCAGAAGCTGGACGTAGAGGAAGGCCCCTGGCCTCAGAGGGTGGCATAGCAAAGTCCCTGATAGAATGAGCGCCGGAATTTGGCTGTGAGTTCGAATGTTGGCTTATGAGTTCGATGACCTTGGATAAGAAGTGTCCCCTTTGCCTCGGTTCCTTCAACTTTAAAGCGGGCACCATCATCAAACCTATGTCAGAGGGCTGTTCTGAGAGTTAAATGAGGTGATGCATTTGGAGCTTGACATCAATAAGCACTTAATACATTCCTTGTGCTGTTACCATTCTCATGACAAATCGGCAGCTCCCTGAGCCCTCTTCACCCCCCTCCGTTCACCCGCTCCGCTCCACCCGCCCCCCCCCCCCACTGGCCACCTTCTGCCTTGCAGCCTAGCGCTCAAATGAACATCTGTGTGCTCTCCCCAGGGAGACCTTCTCCTTCGTCCTGACCAATGTGGATGGGAGCAGGAAGATCGGATACTGCAGGCGCCTCTTGGTCTGTGCAGCTCAGAACTGCCCCTTCCTCTCCGCCGCCTGCTCGGCTCCACAGCTGGGCTGGCTCCAGCCTCCACTGCCAGAGCCCGGGCTCCCTGGCGGCGGGGGTTGTAGTGAGAGCGCAGCTCAGCACCGGTGGTCATGTTAGTGCCCCCTGCAGCCCCGTAGGGACAGGGACACATGCCATGGCCCCCCCCCCCCCGGCCCTGCAGGGGCCTCTGCTGGCCCTGCCGTGGTCTTTGTTCTCCCCACTCGAACCCCACCCTGCCCTCAGTGGGAGGCCCCACCTACTCCTCCGGGCCTTCTTGACCAGGCCTTGGGGCCTCGGCCCTGGGGCCTCCCAGAGCACAGCCCGGGATATGAAGTCCTACTCTGGCTCTCATGGGTCTCCAGGTCACTTTCACAGTGCTGTCCTCCCTCGCCATTTTCTCATCCTGCAACACACTTGTCCCCTCTCTCCGCTGACCCCAGACGACTGCAGTGCTTGCCTGTGAGCCCACCAGCCCCCTTTGACTTGGGCGGCCGCTCTGGCCTCCTTGCAGCCTGAGCCGTGACGAGGGCCTCTGCACAGGCAGGCCTTCCTCCACCCAGCCTACCTCTGACCACGAGTCCTCCAGCCCCAGTCACCAGCCTCATGGGTGGGGGGGACTCAGGGGCGGGGGTGGGTGATAGGGAATAGACAGGAGGCCACAGGTAGAGATACAGGACAGACACAGGGAAATGAGGGGGCGGTGGGGAGGCGAGTAGCAGGGGCATGGGCGAAGGCCCTGGGGGGGCCGCCGCCCTGAAGGAGGCTCTCTGCCCCCCAGCCTGCCGGCCCTGGCCCTCGGCTCCCCAAGGTGTACTGCATCATCAGCTGCATCGGCTGCTTCGGCCTGTTCTCCAAGGTAGGGCCCCAGCGGATTCCTCGGTGGGTAGGGGGGCTGTCAGGCCTGTTCTGCTCCCCTGTCTGCGTGGTTGCCTGCCTTGCCACGCTTCTTAAGCCCTCAGGGAGCCCCACCCTCACAGCCAGGGTCAGGCGAGGCCCACGTGAGGAAATTGAGGCAGACAGGGGCTCGGGTTGGACTTGACTTTAGGGAAGAGTGAGAAGTGAATCCAGGGGACCATCTGCCCTGCTGAGTGCCCAGGGCTCCGATTCCAGGTCAAGTCAGAAAGCAGCTGGAGGGACAGTGGGGGGGGGGGCAGGTTAGAGATGGGGAGTTTTCCATTTCTTCCTCTGTCAAATGCGTACAATGACTCAGCACCTTCCTATCTCATGGCTGGTGTGAGGCTCAGGTGAGGTGGTCTGTGAGAAAGGTGGAGCTCTAAGAAATGTGGAGACAGTTGTCGTACAACGTCAGACTCCCTCCCACTCGTCCCTGGGCAGCAGGGACATCAGGGCCTCCGGGACTTCTGCTGGAGCTCCTCTGAGAGCCCGAGTTGGGGTCAGAGTGGGCCCTCAGAATGGACGGGGCACAAAAGTGTCCTCTGCCTGAGCCAGCCCCTTGGAAGACGAAGGCAGGGACCTCCGTCAGCCCCTGCTTGGGTGGGGCGTGTACCTGCGCAGGGTGCTGGGGGACAGAGGCTGGCCCTGGCCCTGGAGGGGTGCCCGGGGGAAGCTGGAGGGCAGAGTGATGCCTGAGACGACCAGCCTCCTAGGCTCCCACTGCACCGAAGGAAGTGGTATCCCCGTGGTTGATGCATTTACTCGAGCATGACTCTCTGGGGGAGGCAGTTTATGCTGATGTTAGAAGGAGAACATGGATGAGTTGAGAGAGGATGAGGAAAAGCACTAGGCTGGTCCATGCCAGGGCGGAGAGTGGACCAGCTGGTGAAGGGGCCGGGAAGAGCCACAAAGATTGGCTGGACCAGCGCAGGAGACACACGCACGCACGCACGCACGCACGCACGTGCGCGGTGTCCGTCGCCAACCCAGTCACCTCCCTTTGAGCCACGCCTCCCGTGGTCCTTCCCCGCAGATCCTGGATGAGGTGGAGAAGAGGCACCAGATCTCCATGGCGGTCATCTACCCGTTCATGCAGGGCCTCCGGGAGGCGGCCTTCCCTGCTCCTGGGAAGACTGTCACTCTCAAGAGCTTCATCCCTGACTCGGGCACTGAGGTGGGTTCCAAAGAACCCACTCCCCGCCGGCTGAAGGGGGCAGGCTTCTGTAGTGTCTCTAATCACAGCCCTTCCGTTCACCGGGTTAACACTCAGAGAAACAGAGCCAGGCTCGGGCCTGGGTCTTGGCTGGATTTATTGGCAGAGCTGAAAATCAGACCCAAGGTTTCTGGTCCTCCCAACCGGATGCTGGTAAGGACCTGGTCACTGTTTGAGCCACCAAGACTTTAAAAAAAAAAAAAAAAGGTTTTATTTCTTTATTTTTAGAGAGGGGAAGGGAGGGACAGAGGGAGGGAGGAACACATGAATGTGTGGTCGCTTCCTGTGCGCCATCTACTGGAGACCTGGCCTGCAACCCAGGCACGTGCCCTGACTGGGAATCGAACCAGCGACCTTTTGGTTCACAATCTGGCACTCAGTCCACTGAGCCCCACTGGCCAGGGCAAGTCTTTTATTTATAGTAAATAAACCATGTGAGCTGAGGCTCCTGGTGCTAGAATGGACTATGCCTCCAGCCCCCACCCTGCCACTTGCCTGTATACCCCACCCTTGTTTCCCTATATCTCTACCTATGGGCTCCATCTGTCTATGTCTTATTGCCTCTCCCCACCCTGGGTCCCCACCCCTGGGTCCCCACCCATGCCACATGGGGATGCCATTGTTTTTAGGCACTAAGCAGACAGAGCAGAAAGTAGAACATTGGTTCTTGCTTTTGTTTTTTTAAAAATTTAATAGTTTTCCCCCCTTTTTTATTGAATTTATTGGGACGACACTGGTGAACAAAACCATGCAGGTTTCCGGTGCACAATTCCACAGCCCATGCTCTGTACACTGTGCTGTGTGTTCACCACCCCAAGTCATGTCTCCTTCCATCACCACTTACCCAGAATATTGCTTTAAGTATTGCAGTGCTGGGCCCGTTCCCCTGGACAACTGTGGGCCCCTCTGATCCTCGGCTCCCCCATATGTAAACCAGGGGAGGGGCTGGGCTTTTCCCCTTACTCAAAAAAGAAGGATGGAATGATTGCTGGGCACCCAGCTCACTAGTTTCTGGCTCTTAACACGGTGAATAAAATGAATGTGATCCCTGACCTCATGGAGCTGAAAGTCCGGTGGGGGAGATGGACGTTAAATAAGGAAACAGACAAATAGATCATGAAAAATGTATGATTGTGACAAAGGGCGAAAAACCCTGCATGCTTAATGAGAAATGACACATAGCCTCAGGTGGCCAAGGGGGGCCTCTGAGACTTGAGGGGGCACAAGAAGGAAGGGAGAAGGGCAGGGCAGGGAGGTCCTAGCCCGCAAAGTGCAGGACAGGCCCGAGGACCAGAAGGAGGGGATGGGGCGGAGCACGGCCAGGGAGGTGGCATGTGCTCCGTGAGGCTGGGACGGAGGCAGGACCTCATGGGCCATTCAAGGGAGGACAATGTCCCTGTTACCCCTAGGAGGAGGGAACCTATGGGTGGCTTTTCCTCAGGAGAGAGAGAGGAGCAGATCCGGCCCCGTGGGGACAGTGGAGGCCGGCAAGGACCCAGCATTCTGGGGCCCAAGAGAGGTCTCACTGTGGTGACACCCTCTGTGTCTGGCTTCCCCAAGTTCATCTCCTTGACGCGGCCCCTGGACTCCCACCTGGAGCACGTGGACTTCAGTTCTCTGCTGCAGTGTCTCAGCTTTGAACAGATTCTTCAGATCTTCGCCTCTGCAGTGCTGGAGAGGAGAATCATCTTCCTGGCCGAAGGTCTCAGGTGGGTCTGGCCACTGAGCAGCTTGGCTGCTCTGTGTGGCATCCTCGGAGTCAAGGGAACAGCCGTGAGGGCCTCGAAGGGTCGGGCTGCAGGACCCGTGTCCTCCCGCTTCTGGGTCTTGATCTGCGCTGCTTCTGCCTCCAAACTGGACTGGGGCCCAAGCTGAAGCAGGTGTCCGATTTAGCCCTGAGAAGGCTCCGACGTGTCCCAGGGACACCCTGGGCCGACACCTGGCGGGTGGGTGCAGGTATGATTCTGCTCTTAGAAGGCTGAGGGAGGGAAGAAGGGCAAGGATGGGGCAGAAAGGAACATAATAGAATTAAGGTCAAGGCCATTATCCACAATGACAAACACACGTCATCTATCCAGTCACTCATTCAACACTGTGTGTCAGCTGTTTGTCCTATGCCAAGCAGTCAGGAGGACACAGACAAACAAGACATGGTCTTTGTCCTTAAGGGGATGTAGAATTCTCTAGAAGTTGAAAGCCTAGGTGTTCAATCAGCAGAAGGAGGTTCAGGTGCTGTTCTTCTGCCTCAGCTACGCGGTAGGTTCCCTGAGGTTAGCTCCTTCGCTTCTTGAAGTCATGACTTTCTCATGGGTAGAACGTGAGGAGAATGGTCAGACCTATCTCATTAGGTTGTGGTGAGGACTCCACAGTCCGCATCAGGCACAGGTTAGTAAGGGAGAGCTGATATTCTGAGTAATAAGCTCCCCATTCAGTATGTCCCTGTGTGTCGTCACAGCAGGGCACTGTCATGTCTTGGTCTGAGAAAGACAGCGGGAGACACAGGACACAGGGAGAAGGAAAAAGTATCACAAAACAGTGGGAGGTTCCCCTTCTCTTCGTGTCCGAGGAGGGAGAAAGCCAGTGATATTGGCCCGACTGCTCTGACTTTACCTTTTAGGGAAGAAGAAGAAGGAGAAAAGGATTTGAGGGACCCAAATGTTAGGCCAGAGATGGTCAGGTGAATGTCATAAGTTTTAGAGAAAAGCAGGCTTGGGCAGGGAGTGGGCTGAAAGGCGCGAGTTGTGGGCGAATCCAAGAGGGAAGTGGTGTAACCTTGTGTTTTGGCCCCAGCTTCTCCCCTCCCAGCCCTGCAGGGAAAGGCGAAGTCTCCCTGGGGCTGGGGCTAGGAATCTGGCCCTTCCCCTCCCTCCGATCAGTGCTTAGGAGTGACCGCAGGTGTCAGCACCCCTGTGGCCCGGACTGGGCGAAGCCTGCCAGGACTTCCCTCTCTGGCCTTAACTTTCTCGGGGACATCCCACCTTCCCCACTTCCTCCCCGCACCCTTGGTCGGATTCCTGAAATGCAGGCAGCCAGGGGACTCCAGTCAGCCTGAGCCTGGGCGAGACTCAGGCTCTGCCTCCCTCAGGAAGCGCTGTACTAGCTCCAGAGCAGGAACTGGAACAAGGTTTCCGCATCTGTGTTTTCCTTGGCTGTGGTCTGGGGGTCCCCAGGAGAGATGAGGAGCTATGGCAGCTGGTGGGGAACAAACGAGTGGGGTTATGCGTGTGGGTGGGCGGGGAGTGGGTGAGGGGTTGGCCTGAGCTGGGACTTAGGAAGTAATTACCCGGGAAGGCCTCGCTGGGAAGAGGCGAGGGCCCCCTTTGTGGGGCTTTCCGGGTAGGAATTGCTGGGAGAGGTTCCTGGAATCCAGGAATTTCCCAGGCTAACTCAGCCACCGGCCTGGTAACTTGAAGTAACCTCCAGTGGCCAGAGGGAGCCGTGAGAGGTAAACACTGGGGCGCAGTGTTTACGTGTTCGTCTCCTTAACGACACTGTGAGTTCCTTATAAGCAGGTCAGCGTCTTGCACTTCTGCTCTCCACACCCTGAGCACAGTGGTGAGCACACAGAAGGATGCTCCGTGGACGAGCTGTTTGAGCCACGGCACTTCTCCTGCCCCCCTCTCTGCAGGGCCACTTGTATTTTTGTCCAGTAGTGAGCTCAGAAGCCTGAGAAATAGGGGCCCTTCTGCACCTGTGCATGCGGCAGGCACCGCAGCCGCGGCGGGTGGTGGGCAGCGTGGGGGCCCCGGGGAGGAGGCGCCGGGAGGCCGCTCTGACTCTCGTCCTCTGTGTCCTGTGCCCAGCACCCTGTCTCAGTGCATCCACGCCGCCGCCGCGCTGCTTTACCCCTTCAGCTGGGCACACACCTACATCCCCGTGGTCCCCGAGAGCCTCCTGGCCACTGTCTGCTGCCCCACTCCCTTCATGGTTGGAGTCCAAATGCGCTTCCAGCAGGAGGTTTTGGAGAGCCCCATGGAAGAGGTACGACCCAGGAGGAAGAAGAGGAAGTGTGACCTGGGGCTGGGCAGACCTGGATTCGAACCCCAGCTCTGCCACTCGGGTCTGCATGATTTGGGGCAAATTGCTTTACCTCCTGAGGCCTGAGCTGCTGCTTCCATAAAAGGGGGGGGTGACGGTGTCCAGTTTTTCGGGATTCCAGGGGAGATCACCCACATGAAGTTCCTTGCCTGGTGCCGACATAGTGGACACTCAGGAAGAGCCAGCTCTCTCCTCCTCGCTGCTTTCCCTTTGGGCTTCACAGGCAGCATGTACTTACTGAGAGGTCAGCCGACTGTCCTAGGCCAGCTGTCCCACTGAGCAGGCCCTGGGGTGAGCCCTGTCCCATCCCAATGGATGAGCACAGCTGGTCTACACAACACACTCCCCTGGAATTCATGCACATTCCTTGGACATGAGCTAACGAATGCAGCCCTACTGAAAACCGAATCTTGAAAATGCAGGTTTCTGTAGCATGAGCTCTCTTGCTGGTGAGCTCAGAGCTCCGTTGACAACCGGGGGATAGCCCTCCGATTTTGCCAGCTGATTCCGGGGCAGTGCCCCAGATGCCCCAACGGGCTGGGTGCTGAAAACGGACGCTCAGAGCATACGTCGGTCCCCAGTGTTGGAAAGACAAAGTGTGTGTCCTGCTTGGAGCTGTCAGTAGGAGCTGCGAAGGGTTTGCATGTTACGTAGCTCAAGTGAGAAGAGCAAACCAGGTCCGTGCGTCTGCCCTGGCTGACCTTGACTATGTCTCCATCCAAATGTCCATCTAGTGGACATTTCGGAGGCACAGGGAGAATCCAGTGTTGCTGGGAAGGAAAGAATTGTTTCCCTTCCTTGCTTCCTGGTCCTCCTCAGAACTGCTGAGTACACACGCCCTTTGAACGAGCCCTTGCCCTGTGACTAACTGGGACAGAGTATCAGCCCTGTGTTTAGCAATAAGACCTAAAATGTCTCAATATCATTAGTTACAAAACTTCCTGATGCTGCAGCTCCAGCTTTTCAGAAGCTGTGGCCCCTCCCACTGAGGGCAGGGCGGGAAGACACCCCACGGCCAGCAGAATTCTGCTCCTGCCACTCAACAGCCTTGGCCTACTTTCTGCCTCAGTGGCTGTTCTGCAATGGGCAGGGGGTGCGGTGGGTGTGGGGGCTTCCCTGACCCCCCACATAAGCCTTCTGGAAGGGATTACTTGATAGTAATAGACTCAAACACTAGAAAGATTTTGGGGAACAACTTCACAAAAAACAAACTCTTCCCCCTCACGCTTAGCTCCCAACCCCCAAAACAAACAGCCTTCCCTGAATGAAGGCAGGTGAGACTAGCATAGCACCCAGACCCCCTTCTGCACCTGCGCAGGCGCACGTGCGCAAGCGCGGGCGCGCAGTGGTGTCAGGTGCGCACAGGTTCGACTTCTCTCCCCCCGGGCGCGGCTCACCATGGTGCCTGCTCTGTCCCTTGGCTTACTTTCCAGTCCCCGCTTCTCCTTTTATTTGGAAGAAGGGAGTACGGAGGGATTGTTCACCCAACTGTCAAGAGCAATTGTTCCAAACTGAAAAGAGGAGCCCAGCGGGCATCTAAGTGCCCACCCGGGTCACTCGGCCGGAGGGGGGGGGGGACTGTGGCAAACTGCTGAGCCTGTGCTGAGCCCAAGGGGGCAACTGCACTCAGCTCCCTCTGAATGTTGGTCTTTAGAAACGAGGGCCAGTGTTGACTTCCTGACTTTTTTAAAAGCCCCAAGTCTAAATTTTCTGTGAAATGTTCCAATTTAAACATTGGACACAAATTCAGTCTGAGAATGCTCTGAGGATCCGAGAACACAGCTACAGGTTGGAATCCCACCGGTGGGCCGGCTCTTTGTAACATGTGCTCTCCGGCAGAGAGGGAGCTGGCCCCAAACCCAGGCCTCGGAGCCCCAGCCCTGGCTCACCTGCAGCCCCCTGGTCTCCGCACTGCCTTCTCTCCCTCTTCTTGTCGACCCTGCGCTCCTTTTCTTCTCTGGCTGTTTCCTAAAGCTCGGAGGGAGTTTTAGCCTGCTGCAAGCATGTACAGGTGAAGAGGTGTCCATCCCTGTCCTAACGCTGGCCCGAGGGAGGGGGCTGACAGCCAGTGCAGGGAGAGGGACGCCACCCTGAGGACGGGGCACTCTGGGCATGGAGCTGGCTCTTGGACTTCTCCGAGGTATGACTTCAGGCTTCTTGAGTCGGGATACACCTACCTGCCTCCACAGGACTGCTGGGAGGGTGAAATGAGATAAATGTGAAAAGCACTTATCTTGTTCTAAATACTCCACCTATAGAAAAATTACTCAATGCTTAACTAGGTGGGGCGTGGCTATGACGTCCCCCATACTATGTTCTCCTCTCCCAGCTGTGTCCCCTCTCCCACACCCTCGTCCCCTCTCCCAGGGAAGGGAACTGAGATTTCCAAACCCGAATGGCGAGGAGTGAGTGTCAGACAGGAAATGAGAATCCAAGAGGCTGATATTGTTGCTACTAGGGCTGAAATGGCCACGTAGGACCCTCTGCGGTCTGTGAAGACAGGGGAAGAGAGAAAGCCATTTCCGTGTTTCTTTCAGGTCCTGCTGGTGAATCTTTGTGAAGGAACCTTCTTAAAGTCAGTGAGTATCCGGGCTCTCCGCAGCCCCGCCACCAACTCCCCGACTCTAGGCTCATCCACGCCCCACTGATTCCAACTTCAGTACTTTTGTTGAGCGAGAACCCGTGCTCATAGGGCCTTTCCTCCCTCAGGGAGCCCAGGACAGACACCCAGGTGACTTCACGACACGGCAATCAGGCAGTCGGTGTTAGAGCAAGGGTATAAACCAAGTATCAGAGGGGTCGGGAGGAGACTTACTAATGTTTACAGTCAAACTGAAGGCCAAGAAGCAGCTTCTGTTGCTTTTCTCCTGTGTGGCCAATTATTAGTTAATGTGGGGGTGGAGTCAGGGGTGCTCACTTCACACCTCCTCCCCGACTGCCTGGCCTCTGAGCTGACTCTGTCCCCTACTAGGTTGGTGATGAAAAAGACATCCTACCGCCCAAGCTTCAGGACGACATCTTGAGCTCTCTCAGTCAGGGGATCAGTGAGTTACAGAGTAAGTCCTAGGCCCCTCTTATTTGGGGTTTCTCCACGAATCCTGAGGGCATGATTCCCGGCCACTCTCCCAGAACTGAAAATGAACCTACTCACAGGCCTGGGCCAGTCCCAGGGGCCCGGCTTCTCAGGCAAGTCTGAGCTTTTCTTCCTCCTCAGCAGTGGCAGAGTCCCCAGAGCGGGCCTCCCATTTACTGAGTCGATCAGTAGTTATGAGCCCCCCGCCCCATCCCTCCCCACTCCCCAGAGCTTTCCCTGCTTCTGCTACCCTGAGGTGGCCTCTGTGTGTCCTCTCCCAGCTTCTGAAAAAATCAACGAGCATGTCTCAGGCCCTTTTGTGCAGTTCTTTGTCAAGACTGTGGGACACTACGCTTCCCATATCAAGCGGGAGGCGAGTGGGCAAGGCCACTTCCAAGAACGGGCCTTCTGTAAGGCTCTGACCTCCAAGACCAAGCGGCGATTCGTGAAGAAGTTCGTGAAGACTCAGCTCTTCTCCCTTTTCATCCAGGAAGCGGAGAAGAGCAAGAACCCTCCGGCAGGTAGGTCTCCACCCCTAGGATAGCTGTGGTCTTATCAGTGGAGTTGTGAGGAAATCAGCTGAAGCCCCAGGAGATGCGTCCTGGGCTGATACTTGGCAGAAGTTGCCCTCTGCCTTGGCCAGGCCAGTGGGAGGTCCTTGCTCTTTGAGCCTGGAGCTAATTCCCACTAATTATTCCTTATATGCTTGTTTTGGGGCCAAACAGAATAGTGGCTCTCTGGAGGCCCGGAGGGCATGGGAGTTCCCCAGCAAGAATGTGGGGAGCAGAGGACAGAAAGGCTCTTTCTGAGTCAGGCCCCCGAGCCCGCAGCCCGCCAGGCCAGATGAGACGCTCTAACACAGGCATCTGAACCCACAGGCTATTTCCAACGGAAAATACTTGAACATGAGGAACAGAAGAAACAGAAGAACTCGAGGTAAAGACTGTGAAGTAAGACCCTTGGTGAACAGCAGTGATGGGATCTGCGACCGGTTCTGGACTTTGGCCTGGAACCACGTGGTAGGACCGGCCGAGGGCTCAGCCCCAGGAGTCCAGGCTTCTTCTGCCTCTTGCTTCAAGCTGACGTCCTGAGTCTGGGATCCATGGAATCTGCTTTCTCAAGACGTTGGAAGCCTTGACCTCTGGGCTCACAGAGCAGCGCTGGCTTTCAGCAGAGGCGACGCAGAGCAGGGAACAGTAGCACAGGTGTTACAGACTTAGAAGCTGCTGTAGCCGCCCCGTCCCAGGAACCGCCATTACCAAATCCTCCAGAGCAAGCGGCTGTGGACACGTGAGGATAAGAATAAAATGAAAGCCTTCTGTTGTCTGTACGTGTTATCTTGGGCTTCCACCACGGGGGAGGACCAGAAACACAGGGGAGTGGCTGTGAGCGTAAACCACCAGCAGTGGAGGTCCTGGTGGCCCAGAGCTCTGGGGCTGCGTCTGAAGCGGCAGAATTCTGGGGTCCCCAGCTCCAGCAGGACGGGGAAGGGAGACAGGCACAAGCGGCTGCCACACTGGGGACAGGACAGCAGTTCCTGCTTCCAGACGGGTGCGCTTCCCAGCATCCTGGGCGGCTGGGCTGCTGGCGGGAGCAAACCAACTGCAGTCCCGGGTAACTCAAGGGCAGGAATCGCAGCCACAGAGGCCAGAGCAGAGCACTGCGCTGCTTCCATAAATAGGCAGTTCGGAACCTGCAGTTTCAGACATCCAACTTCCCACTTGTTATTTTGGGACACCCAGCCCTGGTCTTTACAGGGATCCCCAAGCTGACTTTTTTTCCTCTTGAGAAAAGAGAACCCTAAGAGTCTGAAGGTTAGTAGTCGCCTTGTCTTCCTTCCCTCTACACCTTCACTACTTTCTGCTGAAATAGTGGGGGGATGGCGAACTTTTAGAAGCTTCTTGTCTTTCAAAACCTCCACCTCTTTAATGTGTGTGTGAGTGTGGACCCCGAGGCCCCAGAACTCCAAAGAATGCAAATGTCTTTGGAAGGTGGGACAGGGTGACACCTACAACAAAAAGCCCATCAAGAAGAGGTTGAACATAGCTCTACGTTTTAAACACAGTTCTACGTTAAACAGTTTCTACAGAACAGAAAGGTCACAGGACGCATGACAATGCAGCCGACCAAATTTTCTTATTTATTAAAGAACAAAGTTTGCTTAAAGTTTTAAAGATGACATTTAAACTTAGGTTGCCCTTCTGCTGAATAAAACCAAGGAAAAGGCTGGCTTTCAGATCATATATTTATTTAAAAAAATAAAATGGATTGACAAAGGTACCACATTATTCTGCATGCTGACAGGGTTCCCCAGCCTGTGAGAGACACAGTTTCCTGAATAATAAAAAAATGACTCCTCAGCAATGTGAAGAGGGGAAACCATTCAATCCAATTTCAAGGTCTTTATCACCAGGTCCACCTTGCCAGCTGGTGGGACATATCTGTGCCACAAGCTGAACTCCTTAGTACGAAAGTTTGGGAAGACACTAAAGAGATGTTGCTGAAAGATGATTTGTTAAAATGACAAAGCAACCGCCTTCCGGCCTGCAAATATTCTATGTAAGAAATCACCGAGGGGGATCTGCCCCCGTGACAATTTTACTCCGAGTCCAGGACAGTTACAAATGCAGGCATTTCTTCCTGCTTTCGTGGGCCAAACCCTGTATCACCAACACGCACATTTGAAGGACAGGACTTGGAACTCCCAGTCTCACACAGGGTCATAAAGGAGTGTTACCAACAACAAAGAATAAAAGTTATACAACAATGATTATTATAAATTATATTTGTTCTTGTCCTCCCCACATTGATTCTTTCCTGCAGAAAGCATGAGTTTCCAGCACAACACCGATACATCCCTAGTGATGGTTAGGCTGGGCTGCAGAGGCCTTGATTCTGAAGACGTGTATATGCAGGTGCGACGCGATCTGGTTGCAGACGCTGACGCAGTAGCGGATCAGATCGAAGAACGAGAAGACCTGGAAAGGGGGAGACAATCAGACAGGTTCCTGGGGCCTGCCCGCCGCCCCTAAGCTTCCCGGACGTGGGGAGGAGCGGCGTCTGACCCTGTGCTCTGCAGATTTACCCTCAGTTCTGCGCACTCTAGTAACTCCGCATCCCGTTGATTCTTCTCTATGTCAAGGATCAACAAACTCTTCCTCTGAGAGACAGTCATTATTTCATGCTTTGCAGACCTCACTATCTCTGTCACCAAAGCCCCATGTGCTCTGCCGTCACAGCGTGAAAGCAGCCACAGACAACAGATGCACGAGTGGCCATGGCTGTGCTCCAGTGAAGCCTTATTTACAAAATCAGGCCGCTGGCCCACAGGGAAGTTTGCCAGCTCCTGCCAGATGCAGGGAATTTATAAGCCCTCATGCAGGCAGAAGTAATAATAGTGCAAAAAATGGCCCAAAGACAAAGCTCTGAGGAACTCTCACAAAAGTCCCACAAGTGTGGTTTTGACATTCCAATAGTTACAATTCTAAGATCTACTCTTGGCTCTGGCCCAGCAAAACAAGATAGTAAGTAGCCACCACACCATGCAATGCAATACCCACCAGGGCAATCCAAAGTACAATGTATTCATCAATGAAACTGTTAAAATACTGGTCCAGAAACAGCAGGGCCGGGCCTATAAACGCTGTGTCGTGCAGGTGCATCTCACTCTTGGTCATGTGTGCCACCTAGGGATAGAGGAGAATCCATGAGGCATGCACTTTTACGTCAGAGCAACTGTGAGCCACTGAGCAAACCTGCATTGTTCTGTGGCGTCGAGTTTCAGGAATTCGCTAGCAGTATCTGTTGCAATTTCCAAAACTAAAACACTGACAACACAAAGTGTGTGAGAGCTACACACCAAAGGGGTCTACCATGTCAACTAAAGCCCCCAAAGCTGCTTCTCACTAGGAGCCTAATTCAACTGGATAGTTGGAGATTGACGAATGCAGATGAACAAAGCAACCGAATGCAACCATGGAGAGAAACTGTAGTGGCTCCCAGGGCTTCCGATCATCTCACTGCAGCTTCACAGAAGATGCAAACGGTGCCCGTGCTGATGTCAAAAAGTTCTGATCGGAGGGGAGCAAACCCTAGACCTCCTCAGCACACTCTGGAATGAAAACCATGCTACAAAATCAAAATAGGATGAAAATGAAAAACAAAATCTTTCGTGCTTACCACAAGCTTATTGGTGATTTTAGCAGACACGAAGCCGAATGTCAGTATATAAAGGCAGGGGTGCTTTTCAAAGAGCTGGACCGCTGACTTCTTGTAGATCATCACAGCCAATGTGATCACGGATCCAATGTGGAGGAAAGGAGAAAGAACGCTGGTTCCCTAGGTGGGGCAGAGAGAAGAGGGGCCACGGCATTCGATGGTGATCACCTCACCCTGCTCAGCCCCCGGAGAGTCTCTCTTCAGGACGGCTAAGGAAACGCGGGGGCCGCATCAGTGATGCACACACTGAGGACTCTACTGTCACGCGGCCAGGCTCGCTTTTTAAAGAAGGCCACATTTTGGAACATATATGTATATAAAGTGTGTGTGTATGCACCACAAAATGTGCACATAAGAACATAAATGGATGCATATATGAATAAAACTGAAGTTCTGGATACTACTTTTTTTTTTTAAGACTGAGTGGAAACTCCTAGTTACGAGTTACTACTTCACACAATTCAAACAAAAACCAAAGTGACCACAGACCATAAACCATGCCTGGGAATCCTAAGACATACTCACGGCGATCGTGGATCCATTTTTCCCAACTCCACCCGTGAAGATCACACGGAAGTAATTCGTACAGGAAAATATGGTCCCTGCTACAGTACAAAGTGCAGGGAAAATTTTCACTTGGATATTCAGCACTGGAATCTTTAGTAGGTAGAGAGAAAGAACAATTAGAATACATACAAATTAAAAAACGAAAACAGGACAGGCAAACATTCAGTTCACACTCTGAGTTGTTCGCCATGCCCTCCAGTTTACTAAATACGTAAATCAATGGAAGTTTCTCTCTCCTTTCCATTTATAAGCAATATGACAAGTCTCAGATGAGGCTATCCAGAAATTAATCTCACTTCCCACATCAATTAGAAAAAAAGGACCCAACTTTATCCACTAAGTCACACACTAAGTCCGGCTCACCCCCGCCCCGTTCCGAAGTCTGGCCGCAGTGAGCCAAGCTGCCTTCCAGGGCTTACCAAAGAAGTGCACTGTGCCTTCCTCACTGTGCGTTTTTCACTCTACCTCTACCTGTGATTCGTTACTAATTGTTATGCTAGATAATGCATGCATCATAAAAGACTAAAACCTTTGCAACTAGACTGAAAAAAAGCTGTAAACCAGAGAAGGGAAGACCAAAGTTCTACTCAGAGGAGTTCCCAGCCCAAACTGTTAGAGTGCAGGCAGCTGGGAAACGCAGAGGGCAGCTAAGGAGGAGTTGGCGTGCGGGGAGGGGGAGGGGCGTGGTGAGCACAGCCAGGTGGGGGGACAGCTCCACGGCTGGGTGTCCAAAATCCGCTCGGAGAAAACTACTCCCCAGAAGAAGTAAGCGAAACATTTTCATAGCGTGCTGAAAATGACTGACTTCCTCAAAATAAGGGGGACTGAAGAGTTCAAGCTCATGTATTAACCTGGCAAGTACAAATCCACCATTTAACACGAAATATACCTGTACTAATATTTAAAATCATTTGGGAATCTCTCCCTTTCTATACCTCTCCATTAGCTTTTCCGAAGTCTAGACTTTGGTCCAATACGGGCGGAGAAGAAAGCGCCAGTAAAATGACATCATCTCACAATGGAAACAAATGGCTGTAGGAACAAGATCCTGCAACACACTAACAGGTAATGAGTTCTTACGGTAAAATCGTTTTAACGAGGGCTGTGCATGCTTTTTTTTTTCCCAAGGGCAGCCATCTGCCTACACTTTCAAAATCGAATAGGAAATGTGAAGTTTCCTATCTGCATGTATAAAACTGCAGTAAAATTGGTAGAGACGTAAATCTTAATGTTTTAGATCATCAATTTCTTCAACAATCTCAAGACCTCAGTTTGTTTACACAACTCTGTGACCTCTTGCAAAACTGCAGCTCTAAAAAACAAAAAAACAAGCTGAAACCAACTGTTCAAGTTTCAAGTTGTACTGTGGCAGTGTTTAAGTTTCTAAAGTGAAGTAGGTCAACTTAAAACGCCGGCCCAGAATCCTCGGGCCATCCTCCATGGGTGTCTTCCTTTCCTAATTCATCTCCAAACCCCACACGCCCAATCCAAGACTTGTTTTCAATTAAGGGGAAAACCAACACCATGGCTGCTTTGAACTC